TCCCATCACTCGCGAACAAGACCCCGAGATACTTGAACTCCTCCACTTGGGGCAGGAACTCATCCCCGACCCGGAGTGGGCACTCCACCCTTTTTCGGCTGAGAACCATAATAATAATAATAATAATAATAAATAAAAATAATAAAACGTGAGCGTATTCGCTCACACAAATGGTGACGGAATTACCCAAAATAAACTACACAAAAACAAAGAGTGAAAACGTTCCATTGAACACAAATGTGTAAAATCAAGTACATTTCCTCACAGCTACACTCAAGGTAGGTTGGTAGGTTTTAGCCGACATTATTTCCAATTCAATCCCAATTATTTCCTGTTTCACTACATTTCAACTTCCATTCTATACTTTTACACAAGGGCGTAGATTTGGTTTTGGCGTCGGTGGGGACGGACGATCCGACCACTGAACCTGCCCTGTTTCTTCTTTTGTCCTTTTTGTCTTTGCTTCTTGATAAAAAAGGAGAAGTATACTTGCCTACATGTGCTATTCTACCTGCTTTTAAACCATTTAAAATTACAATTCATAGTTTTATATGTGAATTATATAATGTTAAATTACTATTAAACAAATGACTGACTAAGTATCTCAGGCTTTAGTTTACTTCAGCCATATTCCATATAAATCAGGTATCATACAAAAATAAAAATGGCTTCAAATACAGTCATGACAATAAAAGAATATGACTTTAAGGACTTAACAACATTACTTCAGTTACACCAACAATCTGTTATATTTTGGCACTAAGGGAACACTGAGTGACCTGCTGGGTTTTGTCCATAAAACTACTCGTCTAAGATGACCTCAGAGTCAAAGATCTCTCAGCAACATTATGCAACAGTTGAGGCACTATTGCCCCGATCAAGTCAGTGAGCTTTTTATTCTAAACATGAACTACGGTTACAGCAACAGACATGGACTACATGCCCCACACAACAACTCAATGTCCACTATGTGAAGCAGCCAAACACAGGCCTGCTCCTCTCACTAACTGAGATAAACTGCTGGCATGTTTGTTTTACATCTATACTGTCCAGTCTGTCCTGGTGGACACACAGCAGCATTGTTTAAATTTGAGTCATTGTTGACCGTAGCCATGTTTTTAGTCTTCTGAGAGCACTGAAGCTTCTTTCAGCCTCAGTACCTGCGTTTTATCCTCAGATTAAAAGTATTATTCTGTGCGTGATGTGCCTCACCTTTGGCCCTGGCTCCTCCCCTCTGACTGCACTAGGACATATTGCCACCTGATAAAATGACACATGGCTTTGTGCCATATAAACAGTGAGACATGTCAATTCAGATTCTTTGTCAAACATACACTAATGAATCAATTTACATCAGCAGCCCAACAATTGTCATGATAATAAAAATATATTACAAGTTAATCTATAGCATCAAATCATCAGTCAGTCACCTCTGAGCTACAACATGGCAGAGCTGCCTCTGTCACCTGATGACTGACAGTGAGACACTCCACATACATGCAGTCACACATGTGCTTCAAATACAGTCACAAACCACCAGGTCATCCTCCAGTTTCACCTGTGACCTTGTGTCACCATTGCTCTCTGAGCTTTGTGTTGGTTCTTCTGTCACAAACAGGACAAACATGACAATAAGAATAAAATGTGCAGCTGCTTCAGTGTTTCTGTCACTTTGTGCAGATCTTGACTCGTCAGTAATGTTTGCAGGCTGAGTGCATTTTTAAAACAATTTGTGCAAACTGCACTACAAGGTGGAATATTTGCAAAATCATGACGACCTCGTGATATTTTGTCTCAAAGATGAACCCTATGAATACGTCAGTGCCGTTAGGATGAAATTATTGTGTCACCAACATGTTAACGTTAGACATATAATTCTAACAGCCTCTGTAAACTAATATCATGGCTGCTCGAGGCGCCGTTTTCTCTGACAGCTTCAATCAAAATGAGAAACGCTGCTCTGAGACTGAGAGAACCAACAGTGCTGCCTGCTGTGCAGGTAGTTTCCCAAACACGTTATTCATGGTTACATACAGTTTTAGACTGATGTGGGCCAAAGCCTAGCATAGCCTTCGTCCATGCTTTTACAAAGGAAATATATAAAGTGTACATTAAAGATTCCACTTTACATTTGTGAGTCCTCCGAGACTGGGATCGTTCGCTTCTAAAGAACCACGGCAATAAAACAAGATGTTTCTGTGAAGGTTCTCAGTCATCCAGGTCATCGTAGTCAAAGGAGCTTGCAATGACCTCCACACCTCCACAGGACAAGACTCAGCAGTCCATCTGCATCTAAAGGTCAAAGGTCACTCTTTCAAGGATGCCAATGTTCACATTTTGGACAGAGAGGACAGATGGTTTGAAAGAGGAGTGAAAGAAGCATCTATGTCCACTGTGAGCGACCATCTTTGAACAGAGGCGGGGCTTATGACACCAACTCTCTGCCATCTATAATCCAGCTTTGAGATCCCTCCCAGACGCCTTAACGCCCACTCACATCCTGGGCCATCTGATCTCAGGAATTCGCATGATAAGGTGGGGCCAGGTTTCACAATGAACACACCTGAAACTCTGGCTGATTGGGACCCACACCCAGTTTCACACCTTGGCTCAGGCGATTAGAGGATCATCAGGGGTCCTTTTGTCCCTCTGTGGGGGGAAACTCCCACTAGGTTTATATCTGGGACTCTCCACCATTTGACCTTAGAACTGAAGAAGCTTCTCGGATGAAGGTGAAACGTCTTCAAGTAACTTAAAGAAGTCCAAAACAAGATGTTATCAATCCACTGAATGTCAGAAGTGATGTGTTTAGTCTTGTTTACTGTACTTAACAGTCCAGTTAAGCATAATTAAGGAAAAGCGATTAATCCGGTTCCTGTAAGTGTTGAGCTGGTAGTTATTATTAGATAATTACAGTACGTCCTACTGTCAAGCAATAAAAAACAAGTACTGTTGGAATTGTTTTGGATTTGCACTCCTTGCTGTGATCTTCAGCCACACATCTGTCAGCTCTAACAGGTACTTGATGTAAAATTCAAATGTGGGTCCTTATTTCAGATTTACTGGTATACATAAAAATAATGCCCTAATTTACTGAAAGGCCATAGAAATCCTTGTAATGACGCAGCTAATAAAATCATCTGAAATGTCCTTGTACAACCACTAGGTGTCCCTATTAAGGAATGATTTAATGTTAATATTAAAATTGTGATCGTCTTTTCTTCCTCTGGAAATCCTGCGTTTTCCTGGTAATACTTTGGAATGCAAACACTGTTCAGAGGAAGTGACTGAGAAAGCCTGTGGTGTTTACCCATGACTGTGCACACCACTGACTGCACAGAGGTCACCATGCGGCTCTCGTCTCCACACTCATCATCCCACTGAAACCCCAGGGATGCATCACAAGCCATTTAAAACCTGAGGCAAACTAAGAATCGGCCGACCCCCTAACCCTTGTGCAAATGTGGAAAATGCACAGTCTATTGATCTAAATGGGTTCACGCAGAGGACAGCATTTCCACTAAATTACATCTACAGTATGTTAAAAACACAAGGAGATGGCAGCTTTTAGAAAAAAAGATTTATTTTATAGAAATGAAAATCCATGGTCAGCTTTAAATTAAAAGTATGGAGAGAAAAGCAATGTGCTCTAGCAGACTTTAACATGTTGCCCTGGGTGAAAACTAGGACGTGTCTCCTGCTAAAGAGGTTGTCTCGCTTGTCAATCACTTTGACAGGAACACAACAAAAATTTAAAGTTAAACTGACAAGCAGATTTTGCCCTGGTCTGAACTCAAATACTGACGGTGTAACCAGGTTCATACAGATTTGATCATGAAAATCAGAAAACCAAAATAAGGATGTATAAGCAACAACTGTACTAGAACAAACCAGTCCAAACAGAGCAACATGTCACATCTAGAACTGAAAAGAAATGCTTTATGAAGACTACTTTGGAGGGTCTGTGTTGATGCCGTATTTCTCTTTTAGCAACTTCAGCTGTTCTTCTTTCTTTTTTGTGTCCATTTTCTGGAAAGCCTGCGAAAAGAGTTGATTAAAAAAAAGTACATGAATATTCTGTTCATTTTATAGAAATGCAAAACTATATATTATTTAATATTAAAGCACAGACTAAGCCCTGTTCTGTGAGAGCACTTTGTCCTCATTTGTGTGTCGGCACTGCAGGGATAGTTTGGGGAACTTTAAGTCTTTATACATGTTTAGAAGTAGCTGAGGAAATACAACAAAATGCTGATTAAAGCACAATTACACGTGATTTTCTGCCTTTGGCATCTAAACACTGAAAAAGTGAAGACTGAAAACAAAGGATTACAACAAAGTTTTTAAAAAAGCCACACCGGCTGTATTTACACCCTCTGTTTCTTCTCAATGTAGCATAAAAGCATTTAAGTGACGGAGGGGGTGGTGCTACAGCTACCCTGTTCCTCGCGTGCTGGCCAAAGACTCGAGCTCTGCTATCATCAGGAAAGCAATGACACAGCAATGACATGTTTTGCTGTGTCATTCACCAGCTGGCTGTTAGGTCACGTTAGCAGTTATACTGTCAGCTCAAACACAAACATTGAGAAGCCCTGAAGCTATCTATGTAGCTTGGAGGAACAGAGTTACTTTCAGGGACCTCCAAGAACCATGTGGTCCAAAAGACCTTTGTGCCTGCAGTGATGTAATGCTCATACGTACTCTGTTTGCATTGTAGTAGAGGACCACGAGGTAACGATTGCAGACATTGAAGCCTGACAGGTGGTCACAGGCGTTCTTGGCATCAAAGATGTCTTCATATACGACATAAGCGGTTCCTCTTGTTTCAGGCGTGTTCCCTCTACGAAAAACATCAGACACAGGAAATCATTACCAGACCTACTGATGGTGGGTGACAGTGGGGCATTTTCCTGTTTTCTTAGCCCTCTCTTATTTCCTGTGTTATTATTGTATACACATGACAGCGGGGTGTTTTTTTTAATTAAATGTTAGACCTCCTCTGAGCTGAATAAAGTGGACTTTTTAAAAAATTATTACTTTACTGGCCAGGACATCCAGGAGCTCTCTCACTGCAATGCAGGGATTACACGACCTTTGGGACATGCCAGTATAGTAACCTTATAGTTCTGGGACTGTGCATGTGCAGCTGGTGCCATTGCACTGAACAATCACATGGACTAGTCTGTATAAAGGCAAATAAGAGTCCACACAGGTCTGTTGGATTTTATGTTCTTGAAGAACGCTGGCAGAGTCAGAGCTCTGGTCAGGACCATCTTTCTTCTCATCAGCAGTGGAACTTTTAGCAACCTCATCGTCACTAACCTTAGACTGAGTGGATTTAAAAACACTGTGATTTTAGCCATTATTTACTTGTTTGAGGTTATGGTCCGGCTAGCTTTGGATTTACACTGTTTGTGACTTTTTGTGGAGATTTTACTGGAACATTCGCTTAAATTTGCCCACTGCCTGCATGCTGAAAACACAACTTTAAGAAAGCGTGCTACATTTGCTAAATATCTCACCTGTTTATCCCCTGATTGGGGATAGTGGCTTTGATAGCGACATTTGTGGATGAAATTCAAACCTCGAGCAATCTTCACCCAGTACAAACACCTAAAACTACATTTATTAAGACTAATTTAAAACATGGAGCCCTACTTTTAAAAAACTGTAACTATCAAACAGGTGTTTAAAGCCTCTGTCAGTGCGCCCCAGGGCAGCTGTGGCTACAATGTAGCTGCCATCACCAGTGTGTGAATGGGTAAATCGCTTTGGGGTTCATGGGGACTAAGTAAAGCGCTATACAAATACAGGCCATTTACCATTTAAAGCATTAGTTTTCAGCTAGTTATCCATCCGGATACTGTCCACAGTGAGGGGGGGGAAAAATCTCCATCCATTACATTTTGGCTTTGCTTTTTCTCACTTCAACTTTGAAGTGATGCACTCAATGAGATAATGTGAAAGAAGTATTTCTTTGTCCTTTTTTGCAAGATTTTCAAGTTGAAGAAGCAGCAAAAACAAGAGAAGTCAATGCTTGACTCTGATAACTATAAGTTTATGTATTCTATCAACCTTTGTATAGGATTCTATGCAGAGTGGTTTTGTTTTTGTTACAACATTTGTAAAGTTTCTTAATAAACATATTTGAGGATCTAATGGAGAGGGTAACTAAAGGTTTTGACATAATGTTGGAAAAGTTATGCCAGAATGTACCTTTGTGCAAAACCACGTACTGTGCAGGAATGAACCCTCCTCAAGGCTACATCTAAAGCACAGCCTACATAACGCTGGTTTATATTTATGCAAATTTTTTGCCGAATTGTACGTTTGATGGAGAAAGTCGTAATGGGTCAGTCTGTATCTGCAATTAATGGTTGCACTTAAACATTTCTGACATAATTGCGACCCTCGTTTTGCATCACTTGTTACATGCAAATCACAGCCCCACATCTCCCTTGACCTTTGACCCCGGTTCTGGAACAGCACACATTAAGACAGAATACACTTTTGAAATAAGACCAGGCGAGTTTCCTTCATGGAGCAGTTTTTAACCAAGTGGCTTTAAGAAAAGATCTTAACTGGAGATATAAAACAGTTTCTTCAGGACAGATTCTTCTTCCTCAGGTCATCAAAGGACATCAGGGATCCATTCTCATAGCAGTCCTCCACATAATGTCATTATGTCATTTGCTAGAAGATTGATTTTTATGTACCATCTACCCCACTTTGTACTGTTTATCTCTGAATCCAGTCTTATTATCTTGGCTAGAAGCTCCGGGCTAATACAAAGTTTAGAGGAAATGCTTCAGAAATTCAGTCGTGATGGTCATAGCTTGCGGTTTCTTGCAGTCAGTGCTCTAACGCAATAAAATTACCACCAAATTCAAATTTAGATCAGACTTTGAACAAATAATGTGCCATAATACAAAACTATTAGAGGAGGAAGGACAATTTGTTTAGCAAAATAGCATAATTTGTTTGCACCTCTTCCTCTGAGGCTGCCATTTTTTGTTTTTGGTCTGTCTATTCTCATTGTGAACACACCAATGAATGCTAAGATTCCTGATCATGCATCAGTAAGGAACTTAGCTATGTTTCAGATCTGATACACATGTCGTAACTCATTATGGTGTAACCTGGTTGGAAACGCTTGGGAAAAGAAAGACTATTTTATTGCATACAACAGTGCGTGCCACAGCCTGTGGGGCATCTGCTCTGCCAGCCCTTCTGTCTGCTCACCCAAGGTACCCTGGAGCTAGCTAACAATGCTTAGTCCTACAGTGGTGGACAGTATGTCCTTGGTTTTTTAACATGGAGAAAAGTGACCTCCTTAGACTGCTTTTAAGTTTCAATGTACCTGTTTTTTACAGAGTTATCAGTTCTGTGACTAGTTAGCTAATGTACAGTAAAGTAGCAGAAAGATGTAGTGCTTTTATGTCCACTTTAAATAATTGAGAGATTTGAATAACATTTGAAGATATTGGTCAAAGACAGAGAAAGACAGATAAACGTGGAGTCCAACTCCAAAATATGACTTCATGCACTTCAACTGCTATTTCTGAAAATCTACAGTGAAACACTTACGTTCTGATTTGTCGTATTGGTCCATATTTCCCAAAGATATCATACATTTCCTCTGCTGTGATCTTATAAGGAAGATTCCTGACATACAGGATTCTGTTCACCTCAGGAGGTAATCGGATCTGCAGCACAAAAAACAATAAAACAGTTCGGATAAATAAACACTGTTGAAGTTACGACTACTGACGAGCATTCAACACAAAGCTACCGCGGAAACGTAGCTTGTAGACATTTAACTCAAACCTTGCCGAAGTTAAGTTAAATCAGTAGTAAACCGTTTTATTTTCTTCCTTTTATTTTACCCACCAGCCCCTTCAACCCTCTCCTGCCCTTACGTATACAACTCAGACATTTAAACTAACGACCAAAGCCCGAACAGCATCAATCATCTCAAACAGAAGACGACTTTAACCGTGTGCTCAAGATAGACATCATAAAAAGCACCAACGAGAAATGTTACGATGCAATGTTGTTGTTTTCATTTTGCTAACGTGCTAAGCGGCTAACCGTGCGCTAATACAAGCTAAGGCTAGCTTCGAAGCTAACTGAGCTAATGTTTCTGAAGCTCTATTTATCACAAAATTCACAGTCCCACTTTCTCACACTTACATTAGCGCGTTTTGCTGCTTGCATAGCCATTGTGACGGGTTGTTTCGTTCAAATTAAACCCACGAACGATAAACACGCAGTCCCACCAGGCGCTCGGCTCTTCTCGTCAAAATGGCAACGGAAGCTGACTGGTGACGTACTTCCGATTTCCGATTGAACCCAAACACAGAGCTTTCCACCAAACCACTCTGTCTCATTTTCCTAACCTTTAAAGGTGGATAGGTGTTTCTCTCTCACGCTCCCCCAGTCTGTCTACTGGTTTTTGAGACATATATACTAAAAAGTACTGATTTTAGTATAGTCACTGGGACTTCTTGTTTTAGGTTTTTAGGTGCTTCCCTGCTCCACAACACTTGATTCAAATCACTATCTTGTTACCAGCCACTGGAACACAAAGTTGTACTAACTTACAGGTAATGGGAACAATAATGTTTTATAGAGGGAAAGATTGTGATTGTACAGCTCAGCTCATTCCCTCAGGAAGGATCATGAACTTGACTGACAGTAAGAGAGTGGACCCCAGACTTTGATGTGAGAAACAGTTACCGGTAAGAGGTCATGCATATGGGGCGAGTAATATTGGGTCTGCAAATTATATATGTACGTGTGTGTGTGTGTGTGTGTGTGTGCGTGTGTGTGTGTGTGTGTGTGTCAGAAACTTGTAGAACACTTTGTAAAGGGAGATGTCTCAGTTTCGTTAGGTTCTACACCAATAGTGAAGTCAAGCAAGAATAGTCAACAGATAGAACCACATGGGCCTATAACTGTGCTTACAGACTAACTCATTCATGCATGAGCACAGCCGCACACACTTATTTGGTTGTTGGATTAAATGTTCAAATGAAAATTACTTTCGTGTTTGCTAAAAAAAAAAAAAAAAGAGCTTTGGGACGAAGCCAGAGTTTTGACACTTTGCATCCATGCATCCATGTGGCCATTACGCACTGGTTCTGATGACATCTCGCCCTTCTAAAGACAACACTCCTTGTAGCAACTATCACAGCCACAACAGGCGCAAGATATGATTTTTTTAGATATTAGATTTCGTGCCACAGACTTTCTTCGTCACATTTGCGTGACTTATTTAAATATTCTGCCCCTTGCAGGATGACTACTCAAATCACAAGAAAATGTACCTTTTGAATACAGCACTAAAAAAAACAAATACTATGGCTGTGAGCAATAAAGCATAATTATCATATATCCTTATCTTTTATATAATTATAATAAAAACTTTGGTTAGGGAGGGGGTGTTCACTCTGATTTCCCAGATATCATAAGCACTTTTACTCTTTTGAGATGACAGTCTCTGCTACATGAAAAATGCAACATTAGCATCCTTGCTCTTCTTATTACATGACACAACTGTGTGGCAGGTTGCACACACATTATTAAAGGTCTGTGGTACCTTTATTACTGTTCTTACACTGGTTTTGTAAGATAAGAGAGCAGCTGTGTGATGTTAAATAAAAACACGTGCTCACATTTAATGATGCTGAAGTTCTGTAATCATACCAGTGCTTAGCTCTGCAAATGTCTATGTCCGAATATGAGTACTCATACTGCTAGTAGCTTTTGAACTTTATCTGCACAGAGTGGCACATTTCCTTTTGTCCTGTTTGTGTGGAGGAAGGATTCTGGTGAAATAACTCCTGAGGCAACCTTTCCTCTTTCCTCCACCCACTTCTGCAAAAACAGGAGCTCTTAAACATAATTAGGCTTTCTTTCTTTTGGCATTTATTTACTTCAAGACAAATATGAGTCACAGCTAATTCATAGAAAATGCATTTCTCACCACCCTATTTTTGTCTTATTTTGTCATTGTGAGTTCTTGAAAATATTTTTTTCTTATGGAAAGTTCCAGCTCATATCAATTCTGAGGAAATAGCAGGATTTTGTTTTTACACATTATAGTTTCCTGAGCATGTGCAGTTTTCAAAAACTACAAGGTATTTTGCGGTCTGCGCATTTCTTACTGTAAGGTCAGGTCAGCTGGCAAGATGATTCAAATGGTCTTTTTAATTAATAAACAGACAATAACTGCATACGTTCATATTTTTATATATAAAAGTTGCTAAAGCAAATATTTTACTTTCAAAATAAATATTTATTGCCATTAAAATTAAACTAAAACTAAGTGGGTGTATTTCTGCTCTGTGTGTTTTGGCCAGTTTTACCCCTAACAAATA